TATGACGTTTTTAAACATACCTATACAAACATATATATAGTATATGTAGATATAGATATGTATGTGTACGTGTGTGTGTGTGTGTGTGTGTGTGTGTGTGTGTGTGTGTGTGTGTAGGTATATATTTATATAAATGTGTTTATATTGTAATTACATGAGTTTTTTATATCGTAGAGAGATCGTTTGTATGTTACTATTTCTATAATAATGGATATTACAACTTCAGTATAATCCACAGCTTTATAAGAGACATTGTAAAAGGAAATAAAGTTTCAACGTAATTTTTTCTACAATATTGTCCCTGTGTACGAGGGGATGGTGGGATGCGAGCGATTTAACCGGGACTAGGGCGGTTTCAGTTGAGCAGCTCATAGCCGCAGGTCGCGTAATGGATCCTCTGGTGGTCTCGCAGGTGATGGCGATGCTTGAATCGCTTCTTGCAATTCGCGCACTGAAATCTGGGTCCAACGCCACACTCGAGACGCAAGTGCCTCGTCAGGTTGCACTTGTGCGAATAAGTGCGACCGCATTTCGGGCAGAGAAACGGCGGCCCGTCCTCCGCTCTCTTCAACCTCTTCCACACTGAAACATTCGTCGTAAAGGATGTAATGAGAAACACACAGGCTACATCTCGCGGCACGCGAACACAACGTGCACTCGCGAGGTGAACGATGCAAACTAGAGAAAGCGTTAGACGGCCAATGACGCAAAAAAAAAAAAGAAAACGAAAACACGGGGTGTACAGCGTATACAGTGAATCATGCCGCACGATCCAGGGTATAATCGTTACGCAAATTTCTTGCTTCACGACGACAATATCTCTCATCGCTCTTTTTGTTCTTTCTGATACACTGAAAAAACTATTTTTGTATTTGGAGCTAAAATATTTGGTACATACGATACGATAATATATACGATTTTGTCGGCATTGCCGTGTCTTTACTTGCGTCAAGTACGTATTATTGAGAAAGCGGAACACACACATAGCGGCAATTAAATCTTTTGGTCGCAGAGTTACCAAACATCTAGTTTATTCCATTTTAATCAAATTTTGGGGCCGGTGTACCAAGTTTTCGTCTCGACAACAAAATCTTCTTTTCAGTGTCTGACTTCGCGCCGCGATATTTCGCAATATCCGACTTCTAAACTGCATGCGTGTGCTGAAGCGGGTGGTTTCGCGCGTGACGAATCGTCTCCGGCGAATTCGCGCGACAAATTCCATCGTGCAACGGTATCACAACGAGAATATATTTTTGCGACAGATAACTTTAACATGGTCTACATCAGAAATGGACAAACGATTATATCGAATTGTAGTTTTATTCTTTCATTTTTTTCAGAATTTTAGCGTGTAAAATAATAAATTTATATTGGCAAACACAAATTTAAAGACAAACATTAGTCGCGGATTTAATTAAATTCCTTATCTTTATGCTGTTTTCATACGTAATGTTATGATTTTTTACATTTGTCATTCTACAATTATTATTCATCGCGATCTTATTACACAAGGAAAATATTGCAGGAAAAGTTACAGCAAAAGTTTTGTAATTTTGGATTATACAGAATTATATAGAGAAAAATATTTGGTTGTGTTAACGTGAAGTTTGGCTTTAATGAACAAACCAATGCGTTTTTGAAGGACACCGAATTTTTATGGCTCTTATAAACTAAATTCGCCTCTAAGAATCAGAAATTCGTTTACTTCAAACAAAACCCATTTGCTCGTTCTTTACAATCAAACCTCATATCGATACAATCAAACTTCTTCCTCTGGAGATGTTTGACCGAAATTATTACACATTTATTTAAAAATTTGTACACATTTAACTTTTTACTAAGAAATTATTGCATTTGGGCGTTTTTTATATCGAATATCGGGTAGATCATTAAATTTGCTATCTCTATAGTAATTTACACTACAATTTCAATATAGTCCAGCTTGACAAAAAAATATTGGAAAAAGAAATATAATTTTAACGTAATTTTTACTACAATATTTTGTTTATGCGTGTGATACATATTAGTAAGGAAATTTAATATTTGTTATATTTTATCTGTGATTAAATACAAATATTATTTATGCAGTGTGCAAGTTAAATTTTTTTCGAGTACCGGTCAGTATCGCGAATTTTTGCCCATCCCTAATTTGAGACTTAAGACATTATTGTTGCATGCAATTTAACAGTGATCTACGTTTGATTTTTATAATTAATGCATACACTAAATATATTACAAGAACATTATTACGATAACGGTAATATCAGCTGCACGTTTGTAGTAGTAGCCTCAGAATCGCCTCCGAGAAAACCGTATCGGTAAATGTTAGTGACTAATTCAACGAGAACTCAAAAGGAGAAAATTTATGTTCAAATATCAGCACACGTACGTCACGTGATAGTCGAATAACGGCGAAGAGCTGACATAGTTGGGATCGCAGCGAAATATTAACAAAATTCTGCGGATTATAAAATATGCATGTTTATTTCCACCGCAGTTATACTACAATATATGTATGTATCTGTATTGGCACGCGCGTCCGCGTGTACATAAATTTTTTAAGTCTCTATGTGCATATATATATATATATATATATATATATATATATATATATATATATATATATATA